GGGGGGGGGGGGGAGGGTCTCTACACGTCCCACCCTCCCTTACAGCCCACATACCCATACCCTGCCCAGCTGAGCTCTGCGCTCCAAATGCCCCTATGAGGGGAGTAGGAGGAGGGGGAAGAGTTCCCCCCAGCATAGAACAGAGCCTCCCCCTGTCCTGGTGGGGGCAGAGTGGGGGGAAGAGTCCGCTTCTGAGGCTGGGCAGTATCCCATACAGCCCCCACTCCCCACCCTGCAGTGATGGGGGAGAAGCAGGGGAAAGAGCCTTCCTTTGGGACTAGGCAACTTCACAGAGACCCCTCCCCACCCCACTGCAGTGGGGGGAAGGAGGAGGGAGAAGAGCCCTCCGAGAACTGAACAGGGCCCCTGTCCCAGCCCCGTGGCGGTGGGAAAGAGGGAGGAGGGGGAAGAATTCCCCTCTGGGGCTGGGCAGCCTTGTGTGCTGGGATTCCCAGCTGTCGGAGCCACTGGGGCGGGCCTGCCAGGGACTGAGCCTCTGGCCCTGAGCCTTCAGTGGGCTTCTTGCCCTCTCATGCCTCCCCAAGGGGAGGGTGCAGCAGTGGGATCCACCCCTCCCCTCCTGTGCTCCCCAGATGAGCTGCCTGCAGCTCTGTCCCATGGCCAGCACCTTCACCAGCCCCACTCCCTCCCACACTGAGGGGACCTTGATCTGCTCCCCCACACCTCTTCCCTCCCCCATGTCCGTTTCCCCCACAGACTTACCAGCCAGACATTGCTCTTCAAGCTACCGGGCTACATTCCTGGCCATATGCATGCTGCGGCTGCACGTGTGCATACGGCATTTATCGGTGACATTATCAGCTACACTGGCTAAAAAAAGCTGATTGCCAATAGTGTCAATTTTCCTTTTATTGGTGCTGATCCAATATGGACTGATATATTGGTGCACCTATAGTATTAAGTGTCCTGTTATTTCCTCACTGAGATAAGCAAGCTGATAAAAACAATAATGTGGTATTTTCTTTTTTTGCCGAGAACCTCATAGCACATTAGCAAATAGTATTTTGTCCTTTTTTTTTACTTGAAGGTAGGTATTGCTAATCAGGATGTTTATGTACAATGGTCATATTTCTTAGCAACATGAGACAGCAGTTTTTTGGTTTTCCCTACATTCCAAGCAAAAGTCAATATATTTCTTTGTAAAGCAGGAGGCTTTGTCCCTGTTAAAGTTGCAGTACAATAACTAGTTGTTGTACAAGTAATGGATTTAGATTACCCTTCATATAAAGGGCCTTGGTGTAGTAGAGTAATGGCTATTGATTCCATTATAACTTGAATGCATTGTTTTTATTTAATGGAACAACTTTCTACTTGTATTGGGTTACTGGCATTTGAAACTGAATAACAGCTCAGCTGAGCACTTGCGTCTTCAGCTGAAGACTGGTGCTTGTAGTAATTTTCCTGAAATTCAGTGGAAGCAAAATATCCTCAGTGCAACTTGGGTTTTAGGTTTTATTTGTGGAAATGTGCGCAGTGAGATGAATCCGTTTGAAGAGTAGTGCTGCCTCTCATATTTCTGCTATTTATATGAGTTTTTGTTTTGCTTTCAGAATTAACCAGAGAGTCATGGAATTTCATTAGCAAAAGTCTCATGGGATTTGGAACTTCACAATTGTTGTCAGGGATGGGTGCACTAATGTTTGGAAGTATAGGATGTAGCTATGTTGGTCTAAGGACATAGGCAGACAAAATTATTTGGGTAAATCTGATATCTTTTATTAGACCAACTCAAATAGTTGGAAAAAATTCTTCCTTGCAAGCTTTCAGGCACAAATACCATTCATCAGGCTGAGGAAGTATACTGCAGATGCTTCCTCAGCCTGATGAAGGGTGTTTGTGCCTGAAAGCTTTCAAAGATTTTTTCCAACTCCTGTATTTGAGTTAGTCTAATAAAAGATATTAGATTTACCTAAAGAACCTTGTCTGCCTAATGTTAGGAATACTTTCTGTCAGTAATTGAAAATGAAGCCATTGCAAATGGCAGTGTTAATTTTGATACCTTGAACCAGGGGTTGGCAATACACTGGATCTGGCCCGTGAAGCCACAGGGCTCTGCCTCTGCCTGTGTCCATGCTAATGCCATGCAGCTGGAAGCTGCATCTGTGCTGCCAGCACTTTCTTCAGCACCCCTTCTACTCTTTGGCTGCAGTATAAGCACAGCATCTAGTTGGTGAGGAGCAGTTCTGCACCTGGGAGGCAGGGGAACATGGGGAGAAGCAGTGGCAAGGATCATCTTCCAGCTGGTGGGGAACTACAGTGGCACAGGAGGAAGCAGCAGCAGCGCAGGCATATCTCCCAGTCACCCAGCCCCTTCCTGGCTGCAGGCAAAGCTCCCTCTATGGTGCCAGAGCTACCCAGCGTACTTCAAACTGGAGCTGGATTGTTCCAGCCCACGGCTTTTTAAATGTTGCTGGTCACTGCTCTAAACAGAATTCTTATCTCCTTTTCCCTTATCCAAAGAGCAGGAAAATGTGCAGTATGTTCACACTAAACTGTTTCCAAAACTTCTGATAGTTGTGTCTTTAAAAATCTCTTTTTTGGTGTGATACTTGTGTGTAAACTTTTGATGGAGGCAGAAACCATCTCATCCTGTACTCATGCAGGGCTTAGTATAGTGAAGTCTAATTAAATTTTAGAAGCTCCCAGGCATGACAGCAATACAAATAATAAAAATATACATTCAGTTGATTTTCATTAGTGCTGACTTTAGGAATCCTGATCCAAATATGGTGACAGTTAGATCAATGGTTTTTTGCTTGATCAATGTCAAGATTTTTGGAAGTCTGGCATTGCAGTTTATGCTTTTGTTTGTAGTAATCTGCCACAGCAAACTGCCATTTGAATAGTTGCTATCAGTTTTTCTCATTTGTTCTACACCTTTCTCCTGAATTAATTAAAGAATATTGATGATCTATTTTCAGTCACCCAGCATGGGCACCCTGATGGGAGTGTACTTGCCATGTATGCAGAATATTTTTGGGGTTATTCTCTTCCTTCGATTGACATGGATGGTAGGAACAGCAGGTGTTCTACAGTCTTTCCTGATTGTCTTAATCTGCTGCTGTTGTGTGAGTATATGATCACATCATATTTATTTATTTGATTTATGTTCTGTCCTTCCTTACAAAGCTCAGGGCAGTTTACAGTAAGAGAATCAGAATTCCTATAGAATAGGACAAAACTACTTAAATGGAATTAGATTATCAACATAAGAGAGAAACCCTGCCCTAAACAATAGCTCACCCTAGCTTGTTTGCTAAATGTTTGTTCAGATAGGCAGCTTTCATAGCACTTCCAAACGATGTTCAAGCTCAGGCTCTGATAAACCTCTCATAGTCAGGATGCATCTTTTGTGAAACTTGTAAAATGCAACTACACGTGAGGGCTGTGTGAAGTTTTGGTAGCTGCTTTGATTCAGAGGAGATTCAGCCCAATTTGGGGATTGAATCTCTGAATCCAAATCAAATCAGGAGACCAATTGAAAGCTCTGGATTGATTCCAAAAAGCTTCAGAAAAGATTTGGCTACTTTGGAGATTCAGCCATAGACTAAACAGCCAGCTGACACAGTTGCCTCCAGTTGGTAAGTCTGTTGGGCTTGGGAGAGGGAGGAGGGAAGGGGTGTGGGGGAGGGAGGGATTGGGGCTGGGACTAAGACAAACTGCCCAGCCAGAGCGGGTAGCGGGATGTGGGTGCAGCTCCAGGCAGAAGGGGGTGAGCAGCTGCAGGGCAGAGCCACCGCTCCCAGCACTGCTGCACCCATGGGAGCGGGGGCTATTCCCTGCTGCTGCCTGGAGCAAGCCATGCCTGCATCACACCTCCCCCAAACACCGGCTGGGCAAGTGACAGTAGGGCATAGCATTGTGTGGCTCCCTCTGCCGGGGCAGAAGCATGCACAGCCAGAGGATCCACGAGAGAACATGGCTGCCCTGCCTGGCCCAGCCTCCCACCACTTTAAAAAAAAAAAA